ATTTCAGCATCATCAAGATGTTCTCCCAGTTATATGTAAAAACTGAATAAAACATTTCATTGATTTACCAATGCTTAGAATTAGTTACATCTTTTCACGTTATACCGTTCTTATAATTAAGAAACAAATTTTTAAAGTATTTCGTATTCAGACGTAAGTCATTACAAACATTGATAAAATTCAGGTATCTTAGAAATTCAGCAATTCCTGAGGATATGGATGGAGATGAGGAAACTATATCGGAAACTTCATTATTATTGATAATAATGTCCGATGTATTGATCTTTAATATATTTATTGCTTTCTCAAAGCTATCTAATGTGAATATCATTAATAATATTGATAAATTGATCTTATATACTCGATAATATCAATATGTCTATATTATTCGAACAGCATTCTTCTTATGCATGTATTTCAATTCATTATGGGGGGTTTAACTGCATATACAAATACGGTAATGCCAAGAAATTTTATCTGTACGCCTCATTGATAAAAGGATAATGAGAACTCGTTTCAAAATCGTAATCTGAAGGATACATTATAATACGATGCTTAATAATTAATATTTCTACTGAAAGAATGAATTAATTTCGTGTATCAAATGCAGAAATGAAATTTTTGTACCTTAACTTGGTTCTATGCACAAGGTACTCATATCTCTATACATATGCGCGAGATAGTTATGTCTTTTCATAATTCGATAATTTTCGGGAGCATTATATTTCTTCTGCTTATTTATCAGCACGAAAAGGAAAAGATTTGTTTGTGTTTTCCTTTCGACATAAAATTCTAATTTTTTTTAAATGTTAATAAATAACGTATCAAAAACGTTTAACTAACGTTAAAGTTTTAAATAGCGTACCAAAAACTTTTTTTTCTTCTTGTCATTTCAAAAAGCTTTTTTTCTTTTGGAGGGGGGAAAGCATTCACAATGATCTCGTTGCCATCCTCACACATAGTTACAAAGTAGCTTGAATTTTTTATATGTTCAACTTCCCAAGTTATTTCTCGCTTATTGATAGAATTCGCAGTTCCAACCTTGAAAGCCTATTTAAAATTTCATTTCCTTTTGGGGGGAATGTATAAGGAGTATTTGTTGTCGGAATCTTTAATAGACATCTCGCAAATTAATGCAGCGTGAATACTTCATATTAAAGAAAATAAATCACATGCTAGAAAAGCAGAAATAAATTAATTTTCCATAAATAATCCTTATTGATTCTTTAATCATGCTTTTAACTTTACGAATAATGCCAAAGGCATCTTCATCTAGATCTCGTTACTGCATCCCACTTTTTTCAAACTATTTGCCAATTACAACTACTAGTTGATGATTTTATTTCTAGTGCAGTGTTTACCAAACATTTTGGAAAATCTTATTTCATTTTCTTTGCTATTACACGCCCTATGATTTTTGCTTCTTTTTAAGACTTTTTTTCTGTTTTAGTAACATATTTCCGGATCATAATTTAAAATATTTTTTTACTTTTGAAGAAGAGCGAACTTAGCCAGTCTTCCACTTTTCTATGAAATCAAAGTTCATATATACACAATTTAACTTTGCTTAATTTTGAATATATAACTCTTCTTTATTATGATTCCGAACAATTCTATGTAATAACTAAGTGATCATAAACAGGTTTATATATAATGCAATCCTTGCAAAAATAAAAATAATTTTAAAATTTAAATTTTTACTTACAATATGTTAGGTATATTCAAAAAGAAATTAAGCATGCCTTACACTCTAAAATGAATCATTTAAAATTAATAACAACAGTTTTATTAGCATCAAACTGAATGCGAATGAATTTTTGGTGTTTAAATGGTAACCTTCAATAATATGAAAACATATTTTTGCATAGTAATTTGCATAGTAACTCATCGATCTTTATTGCACACGAAAACGATCTTTGTTAGACAAAATTCAAAAAATACATCAGCTTCAGTTTTATTCAGGAGATCTTTGTATTTCCACGAAATTTGACTCAAATCTACAGTGGATGGACAAAAATATGGAAACACCTTGTGAAATGCATGTTTCAAAAGAAAGATTGATTTTAATGAAATATGTAGGTGGCGCTGGCGTTTTTGACTACTGACGCCACTTATACAACTTCGTAAATGTGCTAAACAGTTCAGTTGTTGTTGTCGGAGTACTGTTATGTGAGGTTGTCACTGCATTATGTCAGAGTTAACAGACTTCGAACGTGGGCAAATTGTTGGAGCACGTATGGTAGGTGCTTCCGTAAGCAAGGTAGCCGAGGTGTTCAGTGTTTCAAGAGGTACTGTATCGAAGATTTATTCCGCATATTTGAAAAGCGGAAAAAAAACATCATCTGCTAAATCACAGCGCGGACGAAAGTGTGTCCTGAGTGATCGTGACAGACGATCATTAAGGGCAATTGTGACGAAAAATAAGAAGACCACAGCTGCAAAAGTTACTGCTGAAATGAATGTTGTGTTATTAAACCCTGTGAGTACCAAAACAATTAGAAGGGAGCTTCGTAAACAGGGAATTGCTGACCGTGCTGCAATTGAGAAGCCACTCATCGGTGATGCTAATGCCCGTAACAGGAAAAGGTGGTGTTTAAGTCATTAAGCCTGGACTATAGAGCAGTGGAAGCGAGTAATATGGTCTGACGAGTCTTCTTTCACATTGTTTCCCACTTCTGGCCGAGTTTACGTTCTGGAGAACGTCTTCTCAAGCTTATAATACAGATTGCTTGTTGCCAAGAGTGAAACATGGCGAGGGTTCTATTATGGTTTGGACAGCCATATCGTGGTTCTCTGCTAGCCCCATGATAACTGTGTCAGGGCACAGGACTGCCAAGACTTATGTGAACATTTTGGCCGATCAAGTTCATCCCATGGTACAAACTTTGTTCCCCGATGGTGACGGTATCTTCCAAGACGACAAAGCCCCTGTTCACACAGCTCACATTGTCCAGGACTGGTTTTCTGAGCACGAGGATGAGTTGTCCCATCTCCCCTGGCCACCACAGTCACCAGACCTGAATGTTATCGAACCTTTGTGGTCTACATTGGAACGGAAAGTGCGTTCTCGTTATCCACCGCCAACATCGTTATCTGAACTTGCCACCGTTTTGCAGGAAGAATGATATAATATTTCCTTGGCAAACATACAGGAACTGTATTTATCCATTCCGAGAAGACTGCAAGCTGTTTTGGATGCCAACGGGTTTCCTACACCATATTAAGCAAAGAAACATGTTTTTCTAAAGGTGTTTCCTTGTTTTTGTCCAAACCCTGTATCTTGCCCATCAGTGGCTAAGCGGTAAAATCATTGAACCCTGGTAGTTCTTAACTAAATTCGATTCCAAGTAAACGGGCTGGTTGCATGGGCTTTTTCATGGTTTTCACCATTGTAATGTGTATACGAGCCAGTTTTCGTTGGACATTTGTCTACGAAGGCATCCTTTCCCTTAAGGGGACTCGTACACCTTAAAACCCATAAAATCTTCGAATATGTGACTTCTCCAAGAATTGGGATAACTTATTTATTTTTAAAGCAATTACTTCCAACTTTTTACGGCTGACTACATAATATAGCTGCTTTCTGAAATCGTAATCAGAACGTTTGTGTTGCCACAAATATTTTTATAATTTAATCCGCTTTGTGACAAAAACTTTCGTCATGTTTCCAACTTGCGCGCGCAGTTTAAAACATTCTGTTGCATAATTTAATTCCATAGTTTATATATAGTGTGTGTGTGATTATGGCAAAGCCTCGAGGGCTATCTTCCTAAGAGGAGGGATGCCTTCGTGGAGGACTTTCTAAGGGAAACTGACTCGTTTACACGTTACACATGGGGAAAATCACCAAAACGCCTATGCAGCCAGCCCGTTCGCGGGATTCGAACCTCGGACCGAACTACCAGTGTTCAGCGACTTTACCGCTCGGCCGCTGATGGGACAGTTTATATATAGCTTTTATAACATTTGGAAACTACTGTAAACCAAAAAAAACTGAAAATTTCATGTTAAATTTTTATTTTATTTGGAGTTGAGTTTATAAAATGTATTTTATTAATAAAAATCTATAATGTTTTCGTGCATAAATTTTTTTAATATTAAAATATTCATCAGATTTTTTCGTTCAGTTAGAAAATAGTGCTCATATAAAGAATTCCATCAAATTTTAAGTATGTACCATTAGCCATTTTTAAAATATCATGCGCGCAAGGTGGAAAAATGGCGAAATATTTTGTCACAAAGCGGATTAAATTACAAAAATATTTGTGGCAACACAAACTTTCTGGTTACTAGTTTCCAAAGCAGCTATATTATGTAGTCAGCTGTAAAACGTTGGAAGTAATTGCTTTTAAAATAAATAAAATATCTCAATTCTTGCAACAGTCACATAATTCGAAGCTCATAAGGGTTAAGGTGTATGAGCAATGCTTCGCCACACACAGTTACAACAAACCAAACTAAATCTGTCTTTTCCAAGTACTAAACATAATCTCAGTAATTACATACAATCAAGTATTAAAAGTTGAAGAAAATCTAGACAAAAAGTAGGCTGTCTTTTAAACATGAATAAAGTACCTGCATTACACTTTTGATTTTTAAGAATTCTTTTTCAAGCAGCATAATGTAATGTAATATTTTTTGTATTAAATCTTATATTGAAATGGGCCCCACCAGCGGCAAAGACGCTGAACACTGGTAGTTCGGTCCGAGGTTCGAATCCCGCGAACGGGTTGGCTGCATGGGCGTTTTCGTGGTTTTCCCCCATGTGTAACGTGTATACGAGTCGGTTTCCCTTAGAAAATCCTCCACGAAGGCATCCCTCTCTTTAGGCAGATAGCCCTCGTGTGCTTTGCCATAATTAAATAATCCAATCCAAACCTTATCTTGAAATGTCATAACCGAGCATGGAGTAGCTTCTGCTTTTTAATCATGCATCAACAACTCAAAATTTTTTTCTCATTTAGAATTCTGAAAGGTAGGCAGTAGAAAGAGCAAAGCTTTAATTTCACAAGCATAAAACTCTAGTAAAATGAACTTAAAGTAAGCAAAAAGAAATTCTTTCTTCAAATATTCAAAATTCTTGCAAGCATTTGAATTCACAAATAATGTCAAACAATTAAAATCACTTTTTAAATCTTTATATGGTTTTCATACAAGAAAATGGTAACAATATTAAACAACACGACATATAGACACTCTTAAATATTTTAAATCCACTTCCCTGAAAGAAGAAAATATCTGTCAAGTTAACGTTTGTTCTCTTAAGTTCTTTAAAGGTAAACAGATCATGATTTTCTTTAACATAATACTCTTTCAATTTTTTTTTTCTTGTGCCCAAGATTAACAAGTTCAAAGAGATTACATTTGAGATAAGATGTATTGTGTATCGTCAAAAACTGTTTACTTTAAGCATTTCACATTTTAAATAAATCTTGGAAATTTGCTGCCCCTTTTTATTCTTCTGATTTGAAACAGCACTTGAAAAGATGCTTTACTTTTTTCCTCACCTGCAAATAAAAAATTATTTACTTAAAATTTGAAAAGATAAGCTTATGTTTATAGCTTGGACTAAAAAGTAAACCAAATTATCTTTTAGTCCTTGTAAATAAAATTATAATGTACTTGAAGAGAAAATAAATTAACACACACAATTTAATTAATAAGTTAACACACCTACAATTAAAATATACTGCTCTAAGTAATTCATGATTCATTGCACAATTCATCTATTAGTTAAATATTGCTACGCTGTCTAAGGAAAACCTTCCATACAATATTTAATTGTTTATTTCAATTTTAATAGTTTCATTCTAGTTTTTTTTAATTATTTTGTTGATAAACTGAACAACAATATATGAATAGAATATGCTTAACAATATATAAAGTTATTTCATTTACGACAACGGATTTCATAATAAATATTTCTGGAATATTTTGTTTTCATATTTATTCTTTATTTTCTCTAAATATTCTTTAACTAAATATTAAATAAGAGTAAATATGATACAAAATAACTAAAACTCTATGATGCCATCTCCCGTTATATATTATATTCTATGTTTATTTACATTATAAAAAATCAGCATTTATACGGATTTGAAATTCGGAAATAATGGAACTTAATTTACGATTTTTTTTAATTTACTTCCGATTAGTCCTTTTTACTTCCTTGTACGAAGTAAAAAGGAAGTATTGTAATCGCGAAAAGTTTCAGGCAGCACATTTCAACGAAAATATCCATTTTGACCGCTATCGTATGCAATTTTACGATGTTTTTGCGTGATATCTGTACGTAAGAACAGAATAAAAGACTCGTTTCCTCCAAAAAAATTATAAAGCAGCTTTAAAATTAATTCTGAAGAGAATTTTTCATGGCGTCTGTACGAACGTATGTACGTACGTGCGTACGTACGTATCTCGCATAACTCAAAAACGAGTAGTCTCAGAAAGTTGAAATTTTGTATATAGGACTGCTATAACATGTAGATGTGCACCTCATATTTTGGTTCCAATCGGCCGCACCAAACGTATATAAATATATTTATATATATATCCACTCTGTTACCGGGCTCAGTGATCTCAGTTTCTTTACTCTTATGTGTTTGTAAATTGTACATTTGTTGCTTTAAGAATGATTGAATTATGTTGTTTTTATCTTCCGGTTAAGGTTTTTATGCCTTTAGTAAATCTGTATGCAATATTTTTAGAATTATCAACAATTTTAAAGTTGTTTAAGTGCCGCTAAGCCTTTATTTTCATGGCGGCTATTGATTGTTTACATTTGAAACAGCAGAATTGTAGATTTGTTGCCAATCTAGAGAAACTTAGCTTCGCAACAACAAAGATAACGCCTTCATTTATTATTGCCAATTAAATCATGCTTAATCCTTTCTGGAATTTTTTCGAGGAAATAAGTGTTTGAGATTTACTTCGTAATTTTTAATACAGATATTTTGAGTTTTTATGTATTTTTGTCTTCTCGCGAAGTGAGAACTGAATTAATTGAATGAGAAATACTCGATCGTCTGTGAAAAAGTGTTCTTTTTTGTTTTGTTTGCTTAATTTCTTTTATACATCATTCTAGCTTTATTATAGTATTTGAATAGAACACGTGGCAACGATTAGATAATTCTATTCTTTAAATGATATAAATTTTGTGCATTATGAGTTATAATATGAACGAAATATAATACTGTTAAGTGAATCTAGCGCCAGAGTGTCGCTATGGTAAACACATACTAGAGCGAATTTTAAAGAATGCATTTATTCTAAGGAAGTCATATGGTGGACACATCAGATTTTTTTAAAGTTATAAAAGCATTATATACAGTCTTTTTTATAATTTATCCGGAGGATTAATTAAATGATGGATTTTATTTTTACATCAAATTTCGTTCTATGAAAACGAAACGTTGACAGATAATTTTTTTGCACTCTAAGATTTTACTGCTACTAAAATCATTTTGTTCATTAAAAAAGAAGCATTTTTAATGTAGTACAACAAAACTCCAGTAACCAAGATACCAGCCATCCAGAGCTCCAGTTACCCAAGCTGCTCATTTTTCTTTTAAGCTTGCTATTGATTTGTTTGCGAGTTCTTATTTTTTTCTTTGGTGTAGGCCAGTCCGTCCAGTCCAAGACACTTTATGGACCGCTTTGAAAATGCAATTTATTCCGACGGGCGGTATTGTACATAAATTTAAATATATATAAAAATTGTTAATGGAAATTCAAAACAGAATAAATTATTTTTATAGTTTCTAGTATTATTCATAAACTAGAATTATTCATAAATTAGAATTATATTATTCATAAATATAAGTTGAATACTTATGACTGTACATAAATAATTTTAAAAGTAGTAATTCAATAAAAAATTAAATAATAATATATTTGTTATTAATTAGTGCAATATTTGTTTCCCTTTTCTTTCACTTGTTTTTTTCATGTCGATCTCAGTACATGTATTTCCACATCGTACTAGATGATGGAGATTTCGTCAAATGGGCGCCGTGATTTGTTTCGTGAATTTCATTTTCGAAAAATATCTGATGTGGTCGTTACATGACTTCCTTGTGCGGTCTATTAAATTATACACATTTTTTGCTGCATTTCAATTAAACTTATTTCCTCGAATTTCATTAGAGATATATTTCTCATATAATAAATTCAGCTCTCACTTCGCGACACGGCAGAAACGCATAAAAATCAAAGCAGCTTTCTTAAATATTGTAAAATACAGGTGACGGAGGACGAGGGCGCCGAAAAACATAAAATACCAAATACAGTTTAAAAAAATTTACAATTAAAATTAGAGTTTCTTTGCAAAAACAAACAATTCGGCCAGCGCGCAGGAAGACAGATTTCTCGGTGCAAAAAATTGAAAGTTTAATTTTCGTTCCACTTGGCAAAAAGACACTGAAATTTGTGCAGATAATGACTTACTTCTCTATTTTGCTAAAAGTTTGAAATGTAAGCAAATGTGGGCTTTGTTAGGCTTAGCACGACTTTTAAATTGTTTATAATTCTACAACTATTGCATGCAGAATAACTAAAAACAAAAATCTTAACAGAAACATAAGAACAACATAATTCACTCACTTTTAAAGCAAAAAATGCACATTTTACTAACATACTTGACTACAAAAACTGAGCTTACCAAGCCGGGTAATAAATTGGGTTAAACTTATGTATATATATGTAATAATAAAATTCCGTAGTCAAGAATACACTTAAAATTCTAACTGTATGTTCTTTTCATTTTTAATGGCGACAATCTCTTATTTGAAAGTACGTGGAATTAAATCCACAGCCCCGTAGTCAAGTTGTTTTTCCCGCCTTTTTTTACACGTACAGTTTTAGAATGTTCTGGAGATATTTAAAGCGAACTGGATTGGCTGAGGAGGCTGACGTCATTTCTTGGAAGCTCCGCCTTTCCAGAGGCTATAAGAATATTGGGGCTTTTTCTTTAATGTCACGATGCAGTAAACTTCATACAAAAAGTTATTAGTAATTCTTTTTTTATTTACTCTGGATATCTGATTTTGTAACTGCTATTTTCTCCTGAAATGGATCCTGTTTTTTAAAACTTATCGTCTGATAATTTAACTTACGTCATATATATATATAGGTAGGTAATGTAAAAGGTAAGTGCACAGCTATATGTTATAACAGTCCCATATACAAAATTTCAGCGCTCTAAGGCTGCTCGTTTTTGAACCATGCGAGATACATACATACGTACAGACGCCACGAAAAAAATCTCTTCTGAATCAATTTTAAATTATTTTACAATCCATTTTGGGAAAAGGAGTCTATTCTGTGCATACGTACAGATGCAACGCAATAATATGGTTCAGATGGATTTGAGAGCAGTCAAAATGGATATTTTCGTTGAAATATGGTACCCAAAATTTTTCCCGATTATAATACTACCTTTACTTCGTACAGGGAAGTAATAAGAAGCTTCGAACATTTTAGAGGCATGGTTGTTAATTTATTCCTCGGATGGCTGCGTAGTCAGAACATGATTTTGTTTTTCAAAAAACCGATTATACCAACGTGACTAGCATTTATTTTAATTTATTTCCCTCAAATAAATTATACCTTCTGTTTCATGCATTTAAAAACGAATTTCTTCGTTTATTACAGTAAAATTAAAAGCATGATTGTGTATTTTTTTAGGGGATGCATCGATAAAACTTTATTTTCATAGCTTCATTTTCCTTGGAATAGTAGTTTAGTTGATGTTTAAAAGAATAAAAAATTATTTGTCGGTCTCTCTTTTAGATGGAAGTATGTTTTGAATTTGATTAATGAAAATAAAACTATTCTATTTCTTTAAACTGTATAAATTTTATATAAAATAAATCAAAATAAACTAAAAAAAAACCTTATTTGGAATACTTCAAGTTCGTATTTCGTCTAGAGTGAAAAAAAAAAAAAAAAAAACAAAGAATTCATATACATGCTAATTTAATCTTTTGCATATTCCTTATTTTTCTTACATATATATATGTACATATATCATTCGATGGTTGTGAATCATGACTTTGGTTATTATCTTTCTATTCATTTTATTTTCAGAATTATATAAAGGTAGTTTAAAATTTTGTAAAGAGAATTTATACAGATATTTTGTAATATGTTTATAAAAATTGACGTGCATTAAGAAGGACAGGGGCACGTAGGCTTCTAGATATTTTAAAATTTTTATTTATTCGCATTGAGTTTTATTTAAAATTACTTTACATGCTTTCTCCGCCAATTAGTTTTGTACATTTCATCAGTGCTAATTATGTACTTCTGCTGGGTTATGTTTTTATGGAAATTTGATTTACAGTTCTATTTTTGCGTATTGTTTTTTATAGGGATTCTGTTATATGGATACCCGTTCTATGTACGATTCTATGTATGGATACTCCACTATGGTATAATGCTATTGGTTCTGTTTATGGGTTTTTGTTTACTGTTTTGTGCAGCGATTTTTCCAAGAGGTACCTTTATTGGTCTATGGATTTTTGTGTAGTGGTTTTTACAGGATTTGGCGTATGGGTGCCTGTATAGGTGTACATGCTTTTGTTTACTGGTTTTTACAAGGCATAAACCTACGGTATATCCATTTTTTAATGGAAATTTGGCCAATGGATATGCATATAAAGTTCTGATTTCTGGCTATGGGTTTTTTACTGGGATTTCGTTTATAGTGTCTACAGTTCTACAGGTTTCTGCAGACATTTGGCCTACTCGTATGTATCCGTACAGTCGTAAGGGTTTCTGTTTAAGGTTTTTTACGGGTTTTTGGTCTACGGGTATTTGGCACCCGTAAAAAAGCTGGGGTTTACCCGTTTTTATGGAATTTGGCAGTACCGGTTTCTTTTTATGGGTTTTTACGGGGATTTGACCTACGGGTACTCGCACAGCTGTACGGGTTTCTTTCTATGGGTTTTTAGGGGGATTTGGCCTACGGGTACCCGTACAGCGTACGGGTTTCTTTCTATGGGTTTTTACGGGTATTTGGCCTGCGGGTACCCGTTACAATCTTACAGGTTTCTTTCCATGGGTTTTTACGGGGATTTGGCCTACGGGTACCCGTACAGTTGTACGGGTTTCTGTCTGTGGGATTTTACGGGGATTTGGCCTACGGGTACCCGCAGAGCTGTACGGGTACCCGTAGGCCAATTTCCCGTAAAAAAATTTTATGGGTTTCTACGGGGCATTTTTAGCAGGGCAATTATAAATATTTTGCTTCCAATTATGCTCGGCTATTTGAATTCGATTAAATAATAAAAACAATACTACATGATTACATGATTTATAATATTTTTTTAAATGGCACTTACCTCTTCATTCCCCAAAGTATGGAAGAAGAAAACTAGTACTCCAATTATTGTGTTCAATATTGAAAAGACGCTGTAAAGAGCTAAATTCTGCTCATAATCTGAAAGCATTCCGATGATAAAAGAAGCCAGTATCACGGGCATCAGTATTAGATTAGATCTCTGGTGGATTCTGAAAAGAGAAAATCTAACCTGTTTCAACCACACACAGCATTAATCTAATCAAAATAACAATTGAAATATATTTTATTGCGTAATATCAATCAATGTATACAGTGCTTCATTTTTTATAACCCTGCTCGATATGATATGCCTCAATTATTATGTGTTACCTAAAATCATATATGGATAATGTGATTAACAACAAAACTTTCATTCCTCAAGCGTGACCACCAGTGGTCGCGAAGTAAAATCGCTGAGCACTGGTTTCGATTCCAGGCGAACAGGTTAGTTGCATGGACGTTTTCAGGGTTTTTCTCATGTGTAACCCGTTTACGAGCCAGCTTCCACGAAAACGTTCTCCGCGAAGGAATCTCTGCCCTTAGGCAGATAGCCCTAGTGTGCTTTGCTATTATAAATTAAACCCAAAACCTCAAGCGTGAGAGTGTCAACTTTTTTAAGCCATTTAGGACGGTCTTCGCATTGCCCTCTCCTGCTTTTGTTTTCTTCAGTCTTGATCTATATTATCTTTTGGTTAATCTTCCATAAGCGCCAACCAGCGGCCGAGCGGTAAAGTCGCTGAACACTGGTATTTCGGTTCGAGGTTTGAATCTCGCGAACGGGCTGGCTGCATGGGCGTTTTCGTGATTTTCTCCATGTGTAACGTGTATACGATCCAGTTTCCCTTAGAAAGTCCTCCACGAAAGCATCACTCCCTTTAGGCAGATAGCCCTCGAGGCTTTGCCATAATCACACACACACACTCATAAGCGGGGTGAGCGGGAAAGTGTTCATTTGGCGCGATTTCAATTTGGTTGTGTTTTCCGGCTGCATGTTTTCTTGTGGCAAACACAGAGCTTTGTTTCAGTGATCGTAATGAGTGTGAGTTTAGTATAGCCAAAAGATTTTTTAATTTAATTTTGAAATATTGCGTTTATTTTTAAAAGTTTAACTGTTTAATATTTGCAGCAGGTTAAGCTGTTGCAAACGGGCGGCGGGTGGCGTTGGGACCCGAGGATTCCTGAACCGACCGCTGGCGGGAGGAGACCTGGTGTCTGATCTTAGGAAAAAACTGCCGGCACTTGTCCCGGAGAACAAATGTCTGGAACCGGCTGGATCCCACTGTGAGCGGCAAGAACCGTGCGCGGGAGACCGTCGTAAGCAGTGGGGAAAGGCAAGAGACTCAGCGTTTGGTCAAAGGGCAGGTGTTGAGGGATGAAGACAGGTCTCTCTGTTCTCATCTCCCTCAGTTCAGCATAGGTCTCCTCGTGGCGTCCGCTGGAAACTATGCTGTCAAAGGCTAGATATAAGCTAACAGATGCTGGACAACTAACTCTGTGGTTCGAGTGGGTGGAATTTCTGGAACCGACCATTTATGGGAGGAGACCTGGGGTTCTTCCAGACCACTCTCTAGACTTGTGTCTAGATAGTTTCGGCCTTTTGAGCAAATAATCAGTCTTCACATTGACTAGAACCATCGTTTATTCTGTGGTAGGTTCAGGCTTGGCAGGGACCGTACTGGTACTGCCTTGTCCGTGTCCTTGGTGGTGGGGACGTTACATGGTTGATGTGATGGCCGTCTGAGGGGGTTTGGCTCCTCTCGGTCGGTGTGGAGGCACGTATGATCTCGTTCTTTATCAAAGGTCCGTAGGATAAGAGTACTGCGGGAGGGAGTGGTGACCCCTCTCGTGGGAATTGAACTAGTTATTGAGTAGTTTGGGTGGAGATCGGCCCTGTGGATCTTTTCGTGATGCTCGCCCGTCGTTCTCTGCCTAGATGAATCCTAAATTATGAGGGAAGCTTTCCCTCTCCAGCGACCGGGAGGCGTGGTGCTCTCTCAGCACGGTCCCGGAGGCATGGATTAAACCTTGAAAGAGAGGCCTCAGAACCTTCTAGGACTTGGCCATGTTTTCCTCTGGTTCAATGTTGCAAACGGGCTCATAATCATAATAAGCTTGTAATTATGAGCTTATAATTTATTAATTTTTTCATTTAATTTTATTTAGCTAATGTTTTTCGGCTCAGTTAAGTATTTTATTATTTTGTTTCTTGCATGTGGTGACCGAGATATGTGCAATGTTAAAAGTGTTGAGCGAAAGTGGTTTCAGTGTGTTGAATTCTATGACGATAGTAACTTATTAGTGAACTGGAATACATTTACTTGGTTGACAGTTTTTTGTTGCGAGTGAAGAGGCACTTGATATGTATTATTTTTGTATTTTTGTAGTAATTTATTTTTGTAATTTTTAGTTTCATGTTTGCGACGTGAATTTTTTGCAGTTTATTTTAAATTCGTGTTTCATTTTGTAGGGATTTATGCTTATGTTGTATTTAACGTCATTTTCGCTTTGCGATGTTAGATTTTAAATCGTCGTTTCTTTTTTGCAATTCGCAACTGCAGAATGAAACGGTGATGTTAAGTATGACAACGGGTTTGGGACCAATTTTGTTTGGCGTCAACTTCCCCCGCTTATGGAAGATTAGCCTAGCTTTCAGACATCGGTAAGCGAACATCGCTCTTTTTTCCACTTCTTTTAAAGCTCCATTTAGCGAACGGCTCGAACGGGACCAATGTGAAATGTTTGCACAAATAGGAAAGTATTTTTGTAAGTGTAAATATTATTATTAAAACTAGCAAGTCCTTTGATATTCATGATATGATAATAAGGAACTACTCTTATATGCGCTTTCAGATCGCCAAATGCGGCGACAAATTTCTCGCAGAACATTTTTGGCGAGAAACTCCACGGTGCCATATTACTATCTAAATTTTTTGTCTACATTTCGAACTTTAAGCCTAATATAACTCCAAAAACGTGGTTTTCGCATATGCAAAAACCACGTTTTGAACACACAATTTAAGCTAAAATCCGAAACAAAAACAAAAAATTTAGATAGCAAAAAACGTAAAGTTTTGACTAAAAATATTTGACAAGAATTCATGTAGACAGCGATATGTTTTAACTTGAAAAAAGAAAATCTACGAATTGTACAATCTAGGCAACGAACAAATCTACGAACTACGCGCACCTCGCTTTAATAAATTAACATAACAACAATAAATTTCAAAGAATACCATGTACACAGCATCCTGTTTAAACTTAAAAAGAATCTACGAATTGCACAATCCAGGCATTGCGCACAAATCAACAAAATAAACTCAAATAACTAAAATTAAAACAATTCAAATAACAACAGAAATTCATAGTAAAAAACAATTAGCATAACATTCTACAAAATAAAAACAGTAAAATAAAAATGCACTTACCATAATACATTCGTTAATAAAATTTCGCCAGTCACACCACGTCTGTGAACAAAAATGCCACGATTTTACTATATCACATCTCTTTCTGCGATTTAAAATTTCGAAAGTAACGATAAAAACTTCCTCCAAAGTTAACTTACTACACGAGAACCACGATCCAAATCTTAAACTCCGCTGACAGCCACATACTTTACCAGCAAGCATTTGACTGCAAATCCACACAGGAACTATCAGAAACGCCCTTCTTCGTCCGAGTTCTAATAGCAACTCCGCATTTCGGACTCCGTTTTAAAAGTCCCACAGAAATTCCAAAAATACATTTCGATCGTCATAAACACACCCGTGAACAAAAGACTCGTCAACAACTCCAACATCGTACCTTTTAATACTATATTTACTTTCCACACAATCTAAAATACGCGACTGAAATCTTGCCACCACATCTATCATTGCAAAATAGGCCATTTCAAAACACGCACGACACGAAACAATGAGCAAGTAAACCACTGCAGCAAAAGAGTTAAATTTCAACGTCAAAAGGGTTGCCATACAAACAACATCGTCCCCAAAACCACAGCCCCGCAACCGCGCCAAAAACCAGCGTAGAACATATATCGCCACATTTGGTGATCTTAGGGCGAATATAAGAGTAGAGCCGATAATAATAATGTGCCTTTGTTTGGGCTTTTTTAATGTGCGATGTTTATCATTTAATCTCTCTGTTCCGAAATAATATTCAGCATGTAATTGTTTTCTCCTTTCAAGCGATCAAATTAGTAGTGAAGGGGGTGAATACGGGAGTAAATATGGTATTTAATTTTCTATTTATTATTTACTAAAATGTGATTCAATTGTTTCGTTTGATAATGATTAAACCCAAAATTATGAGTGTTCACTGTGGTTTAGTTGAAAGCCTTGAAAATAAATTTGCACATGAAAATAACATCAAAAATTTTTACTAGTTCATGTAGTTCACAGAAAATGTGAATGCAAATAAAGCCTCATGATTAAAGCAAGCACTAGGACACTTACTGTGAAATATTTCTCAATGTGTTTTGGGGCATATTTAATAGTTTTAAAATTCATGTAATAGAGATAACGAATTTCTCACTCACTTGCTACTAAGAAGCTGCCTATGGTCAATAACCTTCAAGGGCTTGAAATCGGCATTACCTGCTGCTTCTAGCATGATGAAATCCAAGATACAAATGCTGACCACAGGTCCTATCACAAGGTAAGACAAGTATTTATCCATCTGTAGCCAGCAACTGCAATGAAAAAATTATCATATTCTTTACTGAATAGTTTAGAAAAAATATAAAATTATTTTATCCATTGTAATCTAAGTACATTAAATTTCAAATGCTTTGCAAGATAATTAATACACTATAAAACATAAAAGTCTGTGGACCGAGAAAGAACCATGCAGTCAGGAAGAGAGATAACTACACAAAGTGAATAAGACATTAGTCCACTACTGGTTTAGATGCAAGCTGTTGTCTGGAGTGCATCGATTTTTAAAAATGAAGCATGATGTCTTAAAGGATTTTCTGCCAAATATTTTTAATTATCATTTTAATTCGCCTACGTTCTAGGATAATCAAAAACGCCTTCCATCCTCCCCCAAATAGGCTCGGTGGAATTTTAAGTAGCAGGAAATGCTTGCAAGCACAAAGACAATTACTAGAAATGCTTTCAATCAGTATAAACAGTCGAATCGGGTAATATCCTTTTGAAAAGTAAACCCGGAATAACGCAAAGGACAACATAGGAAATAGTATAATTTCATCAATGTATATTTGGGCCATATGAGAGGCAATGGTGACTACCAAAGGAGTCCGGTTGGCAAAAGAAATGGCCCCGCAAACCATACTCCCAATTGTTGGCCTGTGTGGGATGCGACAGGTAGATCCCATTGCAATCACGGGCATTTCCAGACGGTGTGACACAATAACATCGCGGCAAAATCATCGCGGGCGAAAACGTCGCAGAGAAAACAACGCAAGGCGAAAACGTCGTGCTACAAAACATCGTGGGAGAAAACATCGCAAAGAGAAAACATCGCAGTTCTAAAACATCGTGGTACAAAATATCGTCGTCGAAAATAAAGTGGTTCAAAAACTTCGCAGTTTATAAACATCGTCGTCGAAAATATCGCGGCAAAGAATAATGTATCAACAAATCATCGCAGGACGATAACATCGCAGACCTGCTTTTTTCACGCTTTAATAATTGTAAATGGATATTCCCATAATGATTTGTGAGCGCGAGATGGAAAGAAAGATAAATTTTACTTTCATATTATTTATTAACTAATCAATTCTTGCTAAAAAAGTAAGAAGGAAACTTAATACTTAAGAATAAACTGAAGCAGAACAAGAAATAATTTTCATTAAGAGTATTAGATTGACAAAAGTGAAGAAAATAATCTCATAATTAGCAATTTTTTATAGATAAGTTCATGCAGTTACGTAGCTTCCTTTTTCTAAACATTTTTAGATTATACTTTTAATGAAAAATTACCAGTACAACTTTATAAAAAAATTATTTATAAATGACCTTTGTTAGTTAACTATGTCAGTTTAAAATTATATTAAGTGCTATAAGTTGCCTTAATTTTCTATGCTTAAATTTCCTTCTTACATTTTCAGCAAAAATTTATTAGTTAATAAAAAATATGAGAGTAAAGAATGTCCTTCTTTCCATCTTGCGCTCACAAATCATTATGAAAATATCCATTTACAATTATTAAAGTCTGAAAAAAACATGTCTGTTATCGTCATGCGATGATTTGTAGATACTTTATTTTTTACCACGATATTTTCGACGACGATATTTTTAAACTGCGAAATTTTTGAACCGCTTTATTTTGGACGACGATATTTTGTATCACGATGTTTTAGAACTGCGATGTTTTCTCCCACGATGTTTTGTATCACGACGTTTTCGCCTTGCGTTGTTTTCTCCGCGACGTTTTCGTCCACGATGTTTTTGCCGCGATGTTTTCGGCTGTAACCTTTCCAGACACACCTGTACTGATCATAAATAAAGCTAAAAAAATCATCACGAAAGACAAATCTTCAGTCACTTTTCTTTTGTTGTCGCCCTAAGTCGACTGCTGCCCTCTTAAAGTACAAATATGCCATTGTCCACCCATTCCTGTTAATATCCTGTAATATTCGCAGTGAAGAACCCAAATGTTGAACAATTCCTCAGTTTGCCCACCTAGTCTCTTTCAATCCGATGACAAAGCCCAGCTTCCTTCAAATTGTGATAGTATGTGCTTGTCATAAAGAACGCATGTGAAAAACATTGTTATTGCTTTTAAAATTGAATTTTGCTCATTAATACCTTTTCGAAACTTCGATGGGGTGGAGCTCCGACTATTCCTTTATTGAAGTGCTAAATTTTAATCATTCACATGTAATGTGTATTTAAGAATTATTGTTAAACTATTTTCATATTATGCGTTTCGAACAAAATTTATTTGTAGCATTTACTTAATTTAATTTACATACCTCAAAATTTATATACAGCTTGCATTTACTTGCATACAGCATAAATTTACAAATAAGCTTTTAAAAAATCATGCGGTTGAAAAAAGAAAGTTTTCTTCTTATAAAATATTATTGCATGAATAGGGATAATTCTCAATATATATTTTCTTTTCTGGTTTCAACGCAAACTTCTTTTCCCATTTCCTCATTGCCAATAAAACTGGAATGCTTCTCAGCAGGAAGTAAAGATTGGCGAAAGGTAAAATGGTTAGAAGTTAGTTACTTTCTTCCGCTTATTAATACATCTGTGAACTCGCGCAGTATTAAGAGATCTGTGATTTACGAAACGTTTTTATGAATCTATTCTCTTGTTGATTTAATCAACCGCGAGTGCTCTCATCTTCAGTAAGAGATTAAATCTAATCTAATCTAATGATGAGCTCGAGCAATTTTTTTTGATCGGTGAATCATCAACTGCATCAGTATACAGTGTTTGAATGGATCACCAACTGCATCATTATAGAGTCTTATGTATTGATTTCCAAGAACTTGATTCTGATAAATGTCAATGATCATGTTTATCTGTAAGTGAATATGTAGAGATCAGTACATGGATGATCACTGCAAACTTTGCTCAAATTCTGATATTAAAATCACTGTAACTCGTTTTTACAAGAATTCTGAGTTTAAACATTTTTTCTTGCTTCTGTCTAAAAGCAGAATATAATAATTATTGGGTTGGCAACTAAGTAATTGCGGATTTCACTCATAGATGGCTTCAGTTGAATTTTTAGGGTTGCAGACGTACTACAAATGTAAAACACATTTTGTTATTTGATAGTTGGCAATTCAGCTGTCAATCAGTAAAAAAGGTTTTTTTGATCGGTTGCGTAGTTTTCGTTTGGCGTTCGTTGAAAAATGGAAAATCAAAAGGAACATTTTCGTCATATTTTGCTTTTTTATTTCCGCAAAGGGAAAAACGCATCGCAAGCTCATAAAAAGTTATGTGCTGTTTATGGTGACGAAGCCTTAAAAGAACGGCAGTGTCAAAATTGGTTTGCCAATGATTTCTCACTCAAAGATGAAAAACGCTCTGGTCGTCCAGTTGAAGTTGATGACGACCTAATCAAAGCAATAATCGATTCGGATAGTCACACGTGAGATTGCAGAGAAGCTTCATGTATCACATACATGCATTGAAAATCACTTAAAACAACTTGGCTATGTTCAAAAACTCGATACATGGGTTCCTCACGAACTGAAAGAAACGCATTTAACGCAACGCATTAACAGCTGCGATTTGCTAAAAAATGATCCCTAAAGAAAGAACTAAAGAAACGTAATGAACGTGATCCATTTTTAATACGACTGATAACTGCCGATGAAAAATGGGTTGTTTACAACAATATCAAGCGGAAAAGATCGTGGAGCAGGCTAGGTGAATCAACTCAAACAACATCAAAAGCCGATATTCATCAAAAGAAGTGGTTTTGTTATCAGTTTGGTGGGATTACAAAGGAATTGTCTACTTTGAACTCTTACCATCCAACCGAACGATCAATTCTGATGTCTACATTGAACAACTAACGAATTTAAACAATGCAGTTGAAGAAAAGCGGCCGGAATTGACAAATCGAAAAGGTGTTGTATTCCATCATGACAGTGCAAGGCCACACACATCTTTGGTCACTCGGCTAAAATTATTGGAGCTTGGTTGGGATGTTTTGTCACATCCACCATATAGTCCTGAACTTGCACCATCTGATTACTTTTGTTTCGATCTTTTCAAAACTCTTTGAATGGTAAAAATTTCAATAATGATGATGATGTCAAATCGTACCTGATTCAGTTTTTTGCTAATAAAAACCAGAAGTTTTATGAACATGGGATTATGATGCTGCCTGAAAGATGGCAAAAGGTCATTGATCGAAATGGGCAATACATTACAGAATAAAATTATTTAGTTCCATGAAAAAATTGTCTTTAATTTTCTAAAAAAAATCCGCAATTACTTAGTTGCCAACCCAATATTTGTGAGGAACGTAGTCTTTTCATATTTGTGTTAAATGTTCTTCCATTAACTACAAAACAAATAAGTGTAAGATAAAGCTTTATTATGTTATTTATTTCTGAAGATTGCTTTCTAGTTTCCAAAACCAGAAACAAATCTGGGACTCTAGGTGTTCAAGAGAGCTCTATTAGACGTAGAAAATTGCAAGTTTGTGGGTCAAATAGTTTTTGAGCAATGGGGGGGTCGAAAATAGCTCGAAATGATTCGTGTAAGATACACATGGCCTGTGTCTCGTTGCTTTCTTTTCCGTCTGTTCCAAACAATGCTGACACATTGCCGTGTGTCTAAATATTATAATAAACTACGTTATCACTGAAAGTAAAATTAACTCATGACTTATTTTAAATCATTGTAGTACCAAGTAATAATTTATAGCAGCAATATGTTTTAAATATTATGCATAAAGCCTAAAACGAGAAATTTCTACTTACTGATATGATGCACCATAATCATCCAAAAAAAAGCACACACTCACAACAATTATGAGAACTGATACACCTAGGTTAAATGGAATAAAATAACAGTCATTATTATATTATATTTATCTAAATGATAATGAAGCATTGATTATTTTACGCTCAAAGTATTTACACAATCTTGTTCTAAATATTACCATAATATTTAATCAAGTATCATACACTAGCGTTCGGTAATACTAAAGATTCGCAAAACATTCGATGTAACCATTTATAATAGCTAATCTTAGTTGCTATTAATGGAATATTTTATAAATGGTCGTACCATATCATTGAGATCGTATCATCTAAATATACTGACTACCAATAAGTATTTGGACACCTATGCAAATGACGATATCTACGGTCCCAAGGTACGCCACGGACTCCGCCGGTATATATCGTGTAGGAAACAGCATCGGCTTTAGTCGCATGCAAGATGCCTCGCAGTTCAGAGCTCTCTGATTTAGAGAAAGGTATAATTATCGGGTATCACAAATGTGGCCGATCCTTAAGGGACATATCTAGCGATCTGAAGTACCCAAAATCGACAGTGGCCTATGGGATTAAGAGGTGGAAGGGGAGAGGTGATTGTCGGAATGTGCCCCGAGTCGGCAGACTAACGAAACTGGGGGATAGAGACCGACGAGTGCTGTTCAGAGAAATTCGGAAGAACCGCACCCAACCGAAGCCCTCATCCGCGAGGAGTTTCAACAGGCATCCGGGAGTATTGTTTCAATGAATACCATCCGTAAGAAAGCACTTCTGCTTGTTTTTCATGATCGTGCTGCTGCCCATAAGCCTTTGATCACAAAGTCCAACCGCGCTGCTTGGTTAATGTGGTGCAAAGCACATCGAAATTGGATCGTAGATCAGTGGAAACGGGTTCTTTGGAGTGACGACTCAAGGTTCACCCTTTACCGTTCGGATGGCAGGGTCTGGGTCGTCTACCTGGAGAACGTCTCCTGCCAGAATACATTGTGCCAACAGTCAAGTTCGGCGGAGGTGGAATTATGGTCTGGGGGAGGTTCTTCTGGTATGGGCTGGGACCCTTGGTCCCCATTCATGGTAACCTCAACTCCGATGCCTACTGCACTATTTTGGATGACAATGTGCTTCCTACGTTGCGGCAGTTTTACGGGTTGGGCCCCTGTTACTTTCAGGACGACAATGCCAGTTGTCATGTTTCGACGTTAACCAAGGCTTGGTATGGTGCCAATGGAGTTCATCGAAGGGACTGGCCTGCCCAGAGTCCAGACCTGAACCCTATCGAGAACCTCTGGGACGAGTTGCATTGCCGAATTCAGGGGTGCACTACCCTTGCAAAATCGATGAAGGAACTTCTATGTCTTCTCCAAGCCGAGTGGAAGAAAATACAACTAGCTGTCATACAAAGACTTGTGGAAAGTATGCTCCGGAGGGTTCACGCTGTAAATACCTCTCGTGGAGGCTCTACCAACTATTGATTATGAATAAAGTTAGTTTTTCTTTTCTACCACAAGTGTCCAAATACTTATTGGCAGTCAGTGTATAAAGCTTATGAATAAAAATACGTGGAAAAGAAATATTTGACAGGTCGAATATAGAAGGTTTTACATATTTTTAGATCTGCTTCGATAAAGAATAAAAAAAGACAGATGTTTGGGAATAAACCTTTCTGGTAGCAGCTTATTATTTGAAATAAAAAATATATCGTTTGCTACATTTAAATTTATTGTTCTTTCAAAATTTCGACTGTAAACAAGCTGTGGATTGAAGAATCTGTTTTGCGCTTTCCAAACAGAAATAGTCCTATTCTGTAATTCGACAACATTGTGAAATGCATGATATTACAGTTTCGAAGTGCAAAATAAGCAACATTATTAATCGGAAAGGGAGAAACTACCAGTCATTATTTCTACATAGAAAGAAGTCTCCAAATACCCGAAAAAGGTACTACATACAGTTCGTAATGTTTCTAAATTTAAATCACTAGTAACAAGAGAAAATCCACCGACTCAAATCAGTTTCAAAGTCTTTGAATATACTTACTATAACAACAATAAAGCTTTTGCGAAGGCAATGTGGCTGAATGCAGAACAATTTGTAAAACTTTGTGTGAAAACAACTTAGCAGGAATATCCAAAAAAGGTACATAGTGTTTCTAATGCTTCTAAATTTAAATCATTGGTAACAATAGAAAATCCACCAACTCAGAAATCAGTCTTTAAATACAACTGTAGCAACAATAAAGCTTTTTCCTAGGCATGTGTCTCAACGCAGAACAATTTTCTGTATGAAAACAAATTAACAGGAGATAAAGGATTATACTTTATAAATCTTGGTGAAGCATGGGTTCACCTAAATAACTGCAACAAAATGTTTATTTATTATCGAAAATGAAGAGCAAAAATTTACAAACCTCATTCCATCAATGCAAATACAAATTTCAGTAATAGGTTAATGATTTATAGAGGATTCTTTTACAATCGGGAATTAAAAGTTAGAAAAGTAAAAAAAAAAGTGTTATAATCAAATCAACATATTAATAAAAGACGTTATGTACGTTTACGTCCGAAGAAATTCCCTTTCTTTATCCCAAAGAGTTTCAAAGAGTGAATTTTCATCTAAATAAAGTCAGAGTTCGAAACGTACCACGGCATTCCTTGAAAAAAATGAAGACTGCTACAGATATTGCATATATACCTTTTCAACGTATTCCTGCCAAGTCCGCTAACGTTTCATCTGTAGATTATTGTGCTTATGGGAAAGAGCTCTTTCTAAGCGCAAAACCACCATGTTTAATGGAATCAGGAAAGTAATGGAAAAGGAATGGAAATCGATATCTCTGGAAATTTTATGAAAAGCCCTTCTGTCGTAGAAATCGAGTTAAATATGTATGGTCCAGAAAAAAGGGCTATCTGATTGAACATACTCTTTATAACTTGAATTTTAATTAAAAGGTTCCGAAATCGGTCTAGAAATGTGTACACACCCTTTGTATAATACTTGAAAAGAGACCTCTATAATAAGACACAAAAATTTGAAATAAAGATTGTGAATGAGGGATGAAATTTTGTTAGAATTGGTTCCTAACAACTTTCTAAAAAATTAACCCTAATTTTAGTAGCATTTATCATTCATTTATCATTCATTCACTGTATGATAACTAACTAACACTAGTTCACCTAAGAGTGGAAGGCTGAAAAATGAAGTTCATGTACTCATGGTCTACGGACCCGTTCCTCCTCTAATGATGAGCAGACAATATAAGTATTTATGTTCGTTTGGGGTTCGTTTCTTGGATATAAAGGCAATACGGTTCAGTAACGGCAAATTACTGAGTCTTCAAATTTTAATTTTTGCATATACATATGCACTGAATAACGTACTCAAATTACCTTTTTCTCAGAGCGGCTTATTCAGTTTTACAGAACAACATTATCACTTCCTTTAATCTATCATTATATATTTCTTTTATTGTTTCAATTTATCAATATCGCACACTGTTTATCGTAACATATCTATCTGGACAAGAGAAACACGCCTGAAATAAATCATAAAAGCGAAACAACAACCAGATTTTTAACATATAAACTCAAGTTTCCAAGTGCAAAGTTCGGGAGCCACTGTAGAAATATTTGGTTATTTTTTTATGCGAGAGACTTGAAAAATGAGCAATGCCACTGGCGGCATTCGAAACTGGACCTTTCGTATAACCACCGAGTTTGCTACCGTTACTTCACGAAGGCATGCAGAAAAGAGGTAGAACATACCTTATAACTCTTTTATTGATGCACTAGCCATCATAATGCCAAAATGATTTACCTTTTGTGGTGATATTAGCATGTGATGTTACATCGTCACATGTTTCTCTTTGCTTTTGAGTTCATCATGATTTATGTTGGTTTCCTTTACTTTCTAATCCGTTTTCTTAAATCATCTATGAAATTAAATTCAGTTTGCGAAGAAATAAAATGAAAAAAAAAAATATTATCGTAAACAGTAGAACTACAGAAACTTAATGGATAGTTAAAACGCTCACATTCAAGTCTCTTTCATATTGATCCCGGTCATTTATCTTTAAAAAATCACAAATTGTTCTACCACTACAAAATTATAAATTTATGACCAGTATTCCTTAAAGTAAATATTAGCCAAAAGTACAAATTTTATTCCTTACTTCTTTCCTAAAGTATTAGTTCAAACTACATCTTATTAATCAAAATCGTAAAAACAACCTTGTATTTAGCGTAGGTATAATGAAACACTCAATCGATTTCGAGGGCGGCTAAAGGTCCCTCCTCATCAGGAAAAAGAAATACCTAGAAAGAAGAAAATAAAGGAGAAGGAGTCACAGAAACACGTGGTCCTTATCAGCACTGCACGTGGTTATAACTAGATTTTTAATCAGAGTTGCACTGGCCGCCTACTTTTACTGAGCCAGGCTATCTGATCGAGCATGAAAAATTAGCGAAGTTAAAAACTTGATTAAAAATGTAGTTATAACCACGTGCAGTGCTGATAAGGACCACGTACGTGTTTCTGTGACTCCTTCTCCTTTATTTTCTTCTTTCTAGGTATTTCTTTCTCCTGGTGAGGAGGGACCTTTAGCTGCCCTCGAAATCGATTGAGTGTTTCATTATACCTACGCTAAATACAAGGTTGTTTTTACGATTTTGATTGTCACATTAGCGTGTTTCTCTTCTAGTCTACATCTTATTAACTTATTTTGTTTCCCAGTACGTGCTTTTAAATGCTTAGATATCTTAACATATCGTCTTTTTGTACAAGTCCAGCATCACTGACATAAAATTCACAAATCAAAATCGCGAAAAGTTTCTCGATCAACTGCAGCAGCTTTCAGTTCACACTTATGTTGCGCTTGTTTACAATTCAGATATAGTCCATATGCTTATTTTCCCTGGGGTCCTTATAACGTATCTTCCATGTTTCGACGAAACAGGCTTTCTAGAACGGGCTCTACTTAGGTCTAAATAGGGTAAATTTATAAGGTATTTCTCTCGCCTCCTTAGCATGCCTTCGTGGTGCAGAGGTCAGCACACTCGGCTCGTATTCGAGAGGTCTGTGGTTCGAGTCTCAGCGAAAGCACTGCTCATTTTTCATGTCTCCTGCTTACAAAAGAAGCTTAACGTTCTCTACAGTAGCTAAAAAAGGTGGTGGATGATGATCCTCCACCACGAGGATTAGGCGATTGGGTCCCCTAATCCCCAGTCGCCCTTTAAAAGGGGAAGAATTGTAGCGTTGCGCGCCTCCAACTTGCACGCAACCAAGAGGTGACTGTTGAAACTGGATAAAAGACAGAGTCTTGTTAAGGGTTTAAATCCCTTTTTATTCAACGTAATAAATTACAAGTGCGTGCTCTTGACGCTCACAAACTACGCCAACTCGGCGGTCAAATAAAAATAATAACCTGAAAAGAAACTAAAGACAAGACTAACTACGAGGCTCTCTAAAAGTAACTAACCTCACCGCGTTTTACAATACCGCTGCTAATTCAGCAAACTTGAAGATCACGTTGAACGATTAACAATACTTCCAGGCAAGCACACAGACCGAAACGCGGGGTTCTTCAATTTCTGGCTAACTACCTCCGCGCTCGTGAAGTAAGAACAGCACACCTCGAACTCGTTTCCTTTCTATTTAACTCAGAATACTTCCGCTGATAATTTGAATCCTTGCGCGTTCTACTAAAATTTACATACTCTGACATTGGCAGTTCCAGGGAAAGTAAGGCTTGACAGGAAAGGTAGTTTAAACTTAAAATAAATGTTAGTTCAAATAAATATAAACCCTACAGAATATAAGGTATTTCTCTCGCCTTCCTAGCATGCCTTCGCGGAGTAGTGGTCAGCACACTCGGCGCATATTCGAGAGGTCCGTGTTTCGAGTCTCCGCGAGGGCATTGCTCATTTTTCAGATCTTCTTATTAAAATAACCTAGTATCTCTACTACTTTAATTTTAATCCCCCTGTATATATATACACGCACATTCATTAAAATTTGAAATAACTTACCCCAGCCAACAAGCATGTTTTGAAATCTGTTTAATAGACCGTTTCTTGGTACAACAAACGCCACCATACTATAAACGTGCAAAGATTCCAAGAGCATGAACATAAAGCAGGCCGTAAAAAACAAATGTAGAGCAATGGATACGACTTGACACAAGCCCTAGAAAGGGAGAAAAATTTTATGTGATATTTTAAAATAAGTGTCATAAAATATTAATGTTAATATAACTTCACTTCACTGTCAATTTTAATATAACTTTTGAATCTTTTAGTATACATTTTTTGCATCAACTGCTGTCCTACTTTGAAATTACAGGTTGGTACAGAGGCTGTTCACACATTTTTTAGAAGGTTATGTATATTGTATTCACAAAACTAAATTACATACAATTTTTGTGTTTTAAATGTTCTATTTGGCATCCCTTATTCTGAACTATCTTTCGACTCCGCAATTTCCAGGATAATAATGCCTTTTGAAGTGGCAGAAGAGATATTCTATCCCATTCCTCCCGAACAGCTTTCCAGAGTCCTGTTAGGGTTTTGGGACAACGTTTGGATAATGCAGTTTTTAAAAGACCGAAAGCACAAAAATCCGTAGGTGACACATCGGGAGATTTAGTACGGATATCAATGAAGGATATGGCCTTGATACCAGTTTTTTGTTCCATTTCTTTTAGGAAATTTACAGTGGATTTTTATGTGTGACTTCTAGCTTTGTCCTCATGGAGTCTCACAGATTGATGCACTGTGGGTAAAGCGATGGTATTTCATTCAGAAAAATTGGCGATAAAATATGTTCCTGATAGTATTTGGAGTTAATCTTGACATTTTTTGCACTCTCTTTATTTTTAACTTGCCATTATAAGAAAAACCAGAAACAATCATGAATCCCTTAGATAAACTTTCTTTCGATTCTTTGAACCATGTACTTAAATTTTTTTTCTTCTCTTTTATGATAATAAATGGCTCTTTTTTTGTTACAATCATTTAAATACACCCATGCTTCATCTATTGTGACAATTGTTTTCCATTTTTCTTTGGATAAGTGTTTCTCGTATAGAATTCTGCAGCATGTCCTGCGTTGAGCGATATGCTTTGGAAGAAGACGATGCACATTGCGTTTTTTCGCTTTGTTAAGATTTAAATCAACGTTTATCATTTTGTTTACAGTGGACACCGAGCATTTTAATGATTTTGCAAATGTCCTTTGACTAGCGGGATTTTCTTTTAACATTAAACAACGTACCTTTGCAATAGTCGAAGATGTCTGTTTTTTCCTTGGATACTTGTTTGGAATTTTTGTCCCTTTTGAGGCTCGAATTTAACGTTTTTTTCCTTTCTTGTTGATGATATATTACCTATCGACGCTTTAAATATCACAAAACCATGACTCTCACATCGTTTTTGGATAACAGTGTATGCATATTTCTCATCGGAAAGAACGTAAATGTAGCCTTCGAACCACTGCTTCGTTAAATTCGTCATTTTGAATAAAAACAAAGCTTTCAAACCACAGACGATAATTTTGACTTTTAAAAACATAGTACAATTACAATTACTTCTTTTGCAGCAAACGAGTTTTTATTACCGCTTACCAAAATCGTCTAAAAAATGGGCGAACAGCTTCTGGTACAAAATAATATACTTCTAGATGATCGCAGATCATTTATGCTTCTCTAGGAAATTTATTTATCGTAAAATTGTTCTTTAGGGCTTGAATATGAGATAAAACATGCATGACAAGGAAACCACCGTTAGAGAACTACTGTAATCTCGTACTTTCTTGAGCATAACGGTCATGTCATACAAGTAACTACAGAGTACATATTTTCAAGCACAATTCTGAAAAATTGCTCTGGACCATTTAAAATCTAAAGTGGGATAATAGATCTGCTTTTGAATGATTAATCAGCATATTTAACTTTTCACGTATTTTAATAAAACAGTATGAGATGAAAAGAATAATATTAAATAAAATGTAAAGCTTCATGAACAAAAGCACTGCTGTTAATGAAACTGCAACAGCAGGAAAGAGTTTTTCTGTAGCCGAAACGCAGAGGAAGAATCGGAGATTCGGTAAAATTTTATTTATCAAGAAAATGCAAATGATTATATGTTCAGGTTAGTATACAAATGGAATGCTCATTCAGAATCAGTTGAAAAAGTTAACAACGAAATAAAAGACCGTCGTATTAAGCAGATCCCAAGCAATGAATTAGTGCTTCGTTCTCTTGGTAATAAATACCTTGTAAACATGCATCGGCACCAAGCAATATGTTATGGACTGTGGATGCATTTTGAAAGAGGAAGAACTGACGAATTAAGAGAAAGTGATTTCTTGTAACCTGAGATTGCAATAGATTTCACGCAATAGAAGCACTATTGCGTGAAATGCTTTTGCACTTATCATACGCGAAGGCAGTGGGCGGAAGGAAGTTTGATGCATCGACAGAAGAGATATGGAGCATTTAGTGTTAAGTCAGACAGGCCAAGACGTACATTTGGTAATCATCGCTCGTGCGACTACTATATCCAATAGGTTATCAGAGCTATACAGGACAGTGACGCATTAGGAGATTGGTCCCAGCACTTTTCTGTAATTTCTTTCAATCCTCTGTCACATATATCAGGAACTTAGTGACGCACGAAAGGGAAATCTCGCCTGGAATACTAGCGCAGAACATTTTTTCTGCTCAATGGCTCCAATTTATCACAATAAACAGTATCTGGAAGGAATGCTACATTGCGCAGCATCAGGGTTTGAATTGTCATTCAGTTCTCGCCTTCTAAAAATCGTAGGCACTATGCAGAAAGGAGGTTCTAGAATCAGACGTCTGACTATTCTATGGTCCTTGAAGCTATCTTTAAACAATACAGCGAGCTACCATTTCCGTCGTACGCAATAGTCAACGTTTTCTCTATGATCCGCATATATCAATTCTCTCTTAGCCTGAGTTCGTCCCCGATTTGTTCCCTATTAAGCTTGCATGGAATGTAATTACTCAGAATTAGCCCACATGTCAGTACTAGTGGCTGCTAGTGATTACATTGTATATACTAAATATACAGAGTGTCCAGCAAAGGAGTGCCTGATTTCAAAATTAAAAATTTCGAAAACAAAGATCGATAGAGGAATACAACAGGCAGTATATTTATTGTGAAAGTTGTAAGATCGTTATACTGAAGTTTCCAAATAATAGTTACAAAATACGCAAATAGATGCTCTGTAATCGTAATATGTAGTGCATATAAATAGCGCTCCAAAAGACGTAAGAGCGATCCAACCTCCTTACCTTCGTTCTCATCAATCTTCATGATTTATGTAAACGATCACGATTTATGTCACGATTTATGTAAAGGTAGTAGTTCAACTCTACCTTTACATACTGTCACGATTACTGTCACGATTTACTGTCACGATTTATGTAAAGGTAGTAGTTCAACTCAGATGGCAATGTCGCGCTTCGAGCGATAAATCAGCGATAATTCAATATTGGTATTGGTTGGTGAGAGCGTCACCTTTGAGACGTGAAAGGAGGTTAGCGCTCAAATCATGTATTCCCTTATGGCAAGAAGGCGTGGTGGCTGAATGCGCCCAAAGGGGTCCGATCTGACAACCATTCACAAACTCTTCGCTAAATGGCCGATGATCTGGTAGTGAGTTTTGGTCGCAGACAACCTGTAGTCACTCCTGAAAATGTAACTGTTTCTGGAATTATTCAGCAAAATCCAAGGAGATTCGTCCGGTGAATTGTAGCAGAGACTGGTTTGAAGCGTGAAAATACTCAGAAACAACCAAGACGTGCTCCCATTCAAGATCCAAAGTCGCCAAGCACCAGCACACAGCGCCATTTGTTTGCAGCTGTTGTAACTATTAATTCGAAACTTCTATATAACAGTCTTACAGTTTTCACAATGACTTGTTTTATTCCTCTACTGATCTTCGAGAGTTTTGATTTTGAAATCAGGGACTCCTGTGCTGAGCAAAAATAATGTATATTTAATACGCAGAATTATCAATACGTTTTTAATACACACAAGATCAATCTACAGCCATCCGGGATCTTTTAACTTTAGTGCCTTGTTGTGAAAAACCGTTATAACCATGGGAGATCGGTACACAGTAGGCTAAAATTAACCCATTCTTTTAAATTTATTGTTCTTTTTTTTATTACCTTCGCTGGCGGTAGGAGACCTGGGGTTTGATTCAAGGGTGCGGGTGCGGAGGGAGGTGGTTCGCCACATCTCCCTCGGTTCAGCATCGGCCTCCTTGTGGCGCCTGCTGGTAACTACGCTGGCAAAGGCTAGATATAGGCTGGCTGGCGTAGGTTAACGGTGCTAAACAACTAACTCTGTGGTCCGACTGGATGGAATTACCGGAACCTACCATTTATGGGAGGAGATCCGGCGCTCTTCCAGATCACTGGCTAGACTTGTGCCTAGACAACTTCGGCCTGAAGAGCAAATAATCAGTCTTCATATAGTAGATTAGAACCATCGTCTATTCGGTGGTTGGTTTAGGATCGAGTGGGACCGTATGGTACTGTCACGTCTGCCCCGAAGCTGTGGGGACGTTACATCGTAGATATGTCGGTCGTTCGAGGGGGTTGGGCTCCTCTCTTTCGATGCTGAGGGGCAACATATGTCTCTTGTAAAAATTCCACTTGTCTAGTTCTGTCAGTCGAGAGGAGTAGTGACCTTTCTTCTGACCAACCTCGTCTTCTCGGAGCTGGCCTTTCGTCTTTGCCTTAGTGCCGTGGATGTCGTCAGCTCCCTCTTAAGCATGCATTGGGAATTTGTCCCTCTGCACTGATCGGAGTATCGTCCCCTCTAGCGGTGGAGACGGTAGACATTGAAAGGATCGCATCTTGGCATATGACTTGGGGCAGGGAGTCTCCATCAGCTGGTGTTCTGGTGTTCTGTTCTGTGTCATCGCTTCCATAAAATTCTTCTGTATCTCGTGTATTTTTGGTATTATTCTATGACTTCGTGCACAGATTACTGAGCGATCTATAACACATTTTGTACACAATTTTAGACTGGTCTACTGTGATAATCTACTGATCAACTGTAAGTTTTTTCTTTGAAACTATTGAAGCCTCTTCCTACGCGGATATACCTAATTAAAATTAAATTCCGACATAAATTTGTTTTCTTTGCTTTAAAACTGAAATAAAAATTCACCGATTACAATTTTCCCCCTTTAAGAATTAAGTATCATTACTCCATTTGAATTTTTCTTTCGAATTTCATAGTATCATCCTTGCTACATTTAAAATGTCTTTAACATTTGCCAGTTTATTCAATAAATAACTTTCCGCAGTATGATCACATTGAATGAATATAGTATTGATTGCATTTTGAGATACTTCTTTTACATGCATATGTATATAAATAGCATCTATACTTTTAAGTTTATTAGGTTAATAATAGATTTATTATATTATTAGCCTTATTTATTTCCTGAAATCAGGTGATAAGGTATTTTCTCCTTCCTTTCTGCATGTCTTCGTGGTGTAACTGGAAGCGCACTCAGCGCATATTCGAGAGGTTCGGGGTTCGAGTCCCAGCAAGGTCACTGCATATTTTTCATGTCTCCAGCTTCGAAATAACCTAAAGATTCTACAAGTGGCTTCCGAACTAAAAGAGGATGGACGATAATTCGTCACGACCAAAAAAAGTTGGTGATTGGGTTCACTCATCCCCAGTCGCCCTTTTAAAGAAGGAGTATATAAGGTATTTTCCCCCGCCTTTCCGTATGCCTTAGTGGTGTAACTGGAAGTCCACTCGACGCGTATTCTAAAGGTTCCAGGGTTCGAGTCTCGACAAAGCAAAAATTACTTCAGATTAGGGATGAAAATGAGAATATATCTCGACTGTAATGAAAAAACTTGGGCAACTGTCATGTTTAGTGAAAAGTAGGATACTTACAGGATTATCTGTCGATACTTCATTTGGGAAAAGGAGGAACAGATGAGCGACCAGCAATGCTATTTCCATATTCATTTGGATGACACGATCCACAGTGAAAACCCTGTTGAAATAGCACTGATAAGTGATAAGTGATAAGTGACGGAGGACGTGGGCACTGTAAGTTATTAAGGAGCACTTATTTTCTATTATACCATTAATGAGGTTTTCATAATTTTAAGGAGAGACAACTCTTCTCTACGTCTGGCTCACCAGCGGCCGAGCGGTAAAGTCGCTGAACACTGGTAGTTCGGTCCGAGGTTCGAATCCCGCGAACGGGCTGGCTGCTTGGGTGTTTTCGTGGTTTTCCCCATGTGTAACGTGTATACGAGCCAGTTTCCCTTAGAAAGTCCTCCACGAAGGCATCCCTCCTCTTAGGCAGATAGCCCTCAAGGCTTTGTCGTATTTAAATAACCTAACCTAACCTAACCTAACCTCTACGTCTGAAAAAGTTTCAAAATTTTCAAACTACTGCTATCACAATGTTAGTCATTTTACGCAATTTAAGAAACTTGAAAATATCTAGCGTAGAAGTGATATGCTCATACTAAATGTTGGAAGAATTTTGTGCTAATTTCAAACTGGAAAAGATCAATTCTAATACCGTTCTTTACATACCTGAATTCATTATATTTATATCACTACCAAGATAAAAGTCTCGCACATGTAAAACGTTCGGTACAAAATAGAATACTGGCAGCTTGCCCAAATTCAGAAAAAAAAATTTGCTTAGTTTTAAAATATTAAATGCTATCATAGACAATTTGAGCTAATTACGTATTATAAAGTCATCTTTTAAGGTTAACGACTATGAAAATGCCGGTTAATTAGTATCGCGAAGAAGTTATTACATAATAAATAGCAATGGAATAATTTGAACTGGTTTTAATTATAACAACGCTGAAATACTTGTAGACTGAAAATAAAGCAGAAGTTGAGGAAGATGATAATGAACACGATAATGATAATACGCGCTTTTCATATTGCAATTACTTTGTCTAAACACCAAAAGCCTGAAAATACAAAGCTGATGGAATTCAACTGATTTCAAAGCTCTGTTGGTAAGACGTAGGTTTATTCAATAAAAACAAAATCAAGAAAGATTATGAACTTGAAATGTAAGACATTTGCGTCATTGCAGGATTGTCAGACATTGAAAAATAAATATAAATTGAAAATAAGTGTGTGTTTAAATAAATATAGTATTCTTAAATAAATGGATTTCTTAAAAGATCATTTTTATAATGAAAGTTGATTATTCAAACCTTAATTATACCCACTCAGTTTGGATTTAGTTTATTTAATTAGAACAAAGCACTCGAGGGCTATCTTCCTAAGGATCGAGTTGCCTTCGTGAAGGATTTTCTAAGGGAATCTGGCTCGTGTATGCAAACTGCACCTCAAAAAATCCACGAAAACGCCCATGTAGCCAGCCCGTTCGGCAGGCTTCGAACCCCAGACCGAGCTACCAGTCTTCAGCGACTTTACCACTCGGCCACTGTTGGACTTGATCCCACTCAGATAAAATAAAGGAAACTCTATATTCTATTCAAACCTTTACACTATTCATAGTAAATGTATATAAATACATTATGCTCCTTAAAAAACTAACCACGAACGTAAATTAAAAAAACTAATTTTTGAAAAATTATTCCACACGAATTCCAAAACCTCTAAACCATTTCCGAATTTTAAAACTTTTCAAAACAAGCCAAACATTAGCGGTGAAATTCTTGAAACTCATGCTGTCGTTACTCTGTAACTTATTTCTGTCACGTGTTGGAACAAACTGTTTCGTTGTTTTTCGACATTTCCGAATAATATGCTTATCCAGGCATTAAAACCTCTATTTTTAAGGATCTCGACTTCGTTTTCATAGAATTTTTACTTATGACTTAATGTTCCCCCACTGCGTCGAACTACTTTCTTCTGGTACCTTCTTGCTAAATCTTGTAGATCACGTTGCAGTCTTTTAAATATTCCACTCACAGTGCCTGAATCGATCTAGGAATTCAAATAGAATAGCAATTTTTTTCCTCAACACATTTCGGTATTTGTTACTTTCCTTGAACATCAGATTCCATGACTGTTTTTAGCCATTGCCTAAGAAATTGATGTTGCTACTGCTGATTTTCACTTGTGTTTAATATGTTTACTTCACGCCGGGAAATAATGTTATATAGCTTACTTCACGGCACCATTGTTAAATAAGAAACTACTTGCCGTGAAAGGTTTCTACTTCCTCTTAGGGAGGAAACCAAACTCTTAAGAATTTTTGCTAATTACCAAACTTTTAGTGATCGTATAGTGAAACGGTAAAGCATTTTTCGTTGTGAAAAAATGCATCCCGTGACCGCGTCGTGAGAGGATCGTAACATAAGAAAACATATACAAGATATATAGGAAAAACATATTAAATATATAAAGAAAACATACTGTAATAGGTTTCCAGATTAAATATCAGTTTATTCAATTTCATCACAAAAAATAAAAGCTTAACCTCATCAGAGAGTCTAAGGGGAATTCTTCAATTTGTCATTTACTTTTTTTTTTTACATTTAAATTCATATAAAAAAAACTTAAGGTTTGTCTTGGTAATTTAAAAGGGGAAAGGGAAACAATTGATAGCCTGAGAATTAATTTTAAGATTCGACGTTGTTTTTACATTCTAAGGACGTTTTTGAAAAACTTACTTAAAGTTCAAACACAAAAAAAATAAAACTTATCTTGTGTGGACATCTTGAAGTGGAGGACTCGTATCCTAATAAGCGTTGAAGTCGACGGGGCTCATCTTTACGGTCACAAAATGGAAGTTTCAGAAGACATCGTCCTGTCCAGGCACTATTTGCGAAAACACACACGCAGGTAACTGGTTTTCATAATGACGACGTTATTTACTTCTGTAAAACAGAAACAGGAGCACTGCTGCCCAGGACGGCTATCCGCTTGGTCTTGAAAGTCTTAAGTCAACACGCAGGTAACTGGTTTTCATAATGATGACGTTATTTTACCTCTGTAAAACAGAAACAGGAGCACTGCTATCCGCTTGGTCTTGAAAGTCTTAAGTCAACACGCAGGTAACTGGTTCAAATTTCGCCTTTTTACCAGAACGCGACAAGGGAGCATGTTTGCAGCTCCCGGCCAGAAACGTTTTTCTAGGCAATTACGACTCGCCTGTTCTTGCTCATCCCAAGAGCAAGCTTCACGAGTAACGTCCAAAAAAAAGTTCCACACCAGTCAGTCAGTAAGTCTCTCCAAGTCTCGCACGAAAAAGGTGTCATACCAAAAAGTCTTTCCAAGAGTAAGTGAGTAAAGTCCTTAAGTCTTTCAGCAAATATTCCTACCTCTTCAATCTCGCCTCTTAACCCAAAACGCGGCCGGGGAGCATATTTGCCGCTCCCCGCCGGAAAACCTCTCGTCGTAAATTACATCTTGTCTATCTCTTTCAAGCCGGTTTTCAAGAGTAACCTCCACAAGTAAGTTCAGCCAGCCAGTCATAAAGTGATTCCAACTCGAATTTCCTTCGTCTCCTTCACCAACGCGGGCTCCCACTATGGCCTCACTTATCGCCCCCTTAATTATGGCAAAATTTGCGTTTTCAACCCCTGAATGCGGAAATAAGGGTGATCGCGCATGCGCGCCCTTCTTCACTTAGCCAACAACCGGACCCTCAATCGCCAAAAACCTGAATGACTTACATTGAAAGACAAGTAGCAACCTTTGACCTTTTTGTCACGTACTTCCTCTCTTAAGGTCAACTACACAATGAAAATCCTTCTAGAACATTCTAAAGGACAAAGCGCGCGAAATCATGACTTGGCAAAAATTGCTTCCCTTTCCCTGCTTCTTTCACAATGAATCAAAGCTTGTACAAAATTTGCAAATAAAAGAAAATAAATAATATTCTTTTAAACTAAATAATATTCCCAGAAGCATCTGTTTTTCCCCAAAATTAAAGCCTTAAAATAAATAATTCAGAATCAAATAAAAATTAAGATTTCCATAAATCAGAAAATCATTCACATAGTTTTTATAACGCTATCAGACAAATTCTCTACACAACACTTGTGTGACGTATAATAATCCCAAGCCCACGAAATTTCTCATGGCAAGGAGCTCGAGATTACGCTTGTCGTTGGCAACAGCCTTGAACAGGATTTGTTTATTCTGACCTTTATAGATTACAAGAATAGTCTTGCAAATTACTCCAATTCTCACTTTGATCGTTTATTGCCCTTGTCTGTTCTACCACATCCTTCTGTAAGACAACCAGTACAGATTCTGGATAGCACGGACACTGATGTAAATTCATTCTCATTTGTGTTGTATACGGATGGTAGTAGGATTGATGATAAAGTTGGTTTTGCTTATGTTATTTTTGAAGATGATATTGAAATTGAGTGTCACCAATTTCGCATTAGAAATGAATGTACTGTATATATTTCTGAGCTTCTGTGTATTAATTTGCAATCAAGTATATAATTAGCCAGAATGGACGGGGTTCCAGCTACTTAATCTGTACGGATTCACTCTCTTCCCTGGAATCTCTTAAAAATACCTCTTTATGTAATGATAGTATTGTAAATATACAGCAGTCTCTCGGAGATCTGGAGAAGAAGGGTACTTCAGTGTTTTCTACATTTGTCCGTGGTCATTCGGGTAATTATGGAAACGAGAGAGCTGATTGGCTTGCTAAGAATGCAACTAAAAATTATATTAATGTTGATGTAAATATTCCAAAATCTTATTTAAAAAAAACATTCAAAGCTAAAATGATTGAGCGGTGGAACTGTGATTATATCTCTTCTGATAAGGGATCTGTTACAAAAACATTCTTCCCAATTATTTTTGAAAGAATGAAAAGTAAGGACTTGTTGCTCAATTTTAAAATTACGCAAATTTTGTCTGGACATGGTAAGTTTAATGTTTATCTTGAACGATTTAAGCTGACAGCTTCCAATTTGTGTAGTTGCAATCTTGGCGTTCAGCAAAGTGTTTTCCACCTGCTTTTTGATTGCCCATTGCTTGATAAAGCAAGAAATCTTTTGAAATGTAGATTGAAAT